AAGTAGAATCCACTTCAGAAGAATCTTTTTGAGTTTTCGCAAATGAGAAAAAGTTATACATATACGAGTTCCGTACTCAACAGAAACTTGAAAACGAACTTCTTCAAAAAGTACAGTGAAAAATTAATTAAAATAGTCTGCTATTTTTTTTACTTAAACTGCTGAGTGTACTATATACTATAAATGTGCTAGTTATTGCCAATATCAGTCGAACAGATAAATGTATACAGTAAAACTATCGGCAAGATATGGTATTCTCTTCCGATTTTACAGAATTCAAAATATCATTATCAGCTGAAAAAAGGTCAGAAATATGCACATTTTCATTAATAAATAAGGATGAGTCTACCGTCAACTTTCTAATGCTTTTGTTCTTCAAAGTTTAAACGATTGTCTTCAATGGCTGCTCACAATATCTAATAATTCCGTAACAGAAAATGGTTTGCGTTTGTTGCTCAGTTTTACTTTAAAGTACTGGCAAATAGACCGACTATTAATTGCTATTAGTCAGATTAAAGAAAAATACTTCTATAAAGAACAGTATTTGTACGTTTCACTTTTTGGGTTTGCTCGTTCTAACTAATAGCTAAGACTAAATAAAAATAATAAAATAAACGGTGTAGTATAGCAATCCGAACTCTATAAGCAATGCCGTTATAGGCGTTTTCGACTGTAAACATATACGTACTCTCAGATATGTATGTAGACACACATTATTCGATCATACACAATGCGAGACCAGAGCCCAAAGCACCGAAATTTGTGTTCAAGGTCGTACATGTTAAATTTCGAAACTGGGCATTCAACTTGATAATTTATTAAACGCGTTTGTGTATGACTAGGGAAGGGTACGACGATGTGCACATATGTATGTATGTCTCACACTACATATACATACGTATATGTACATATTTATGTATGTATGTATGAGAACTAAGACGGTAACGCGCAAGCGTAGCCACAGATACAGAAAAACATTTGTGTCTGTGCACATGTGTTGCCCAAATATAGACCAGACATACTATAGAAGATGCAAGATTGTTGTGCCGACGACCATGCCAGTCAGTCAAGCTCAAAACTGTGCTTTGGAGGGTTGTGCGAGAGAACTCATAAATTTGTTTTTAATGGCTTGATTGTTTTTGGCTTCATTCGCTGTGGCGACAAACTGGATACACATAAATACTCGTGTACAAGTATTGTACAAATTTCGCACTAGAACGAACACGTTAAGGGTTCCTTCAACCCAGTGACTCAGTTAGAAACGGGTTTCGCTCCATGCCTTATATACTCGTACTTAATATATTTAAATGTATTCCCAATAAAATCAATTAACTGCAAATAAAAGGTAAGAGTAACACACACGCCCCTCCCACCAACCAATTCATGTAGCATCTAAACTCTGTTATCAGGGAAAGTTTTGCCAGCTCGCTATTTTATTGATAAACGCTGCGCTTGTGATAAAAACGCACACGCTATACATGCAAGCGGCATCTATATATACTATATAGTGCCACTTTACTGAAGGCTTTGACGTGAGAGCGACCCCTGATTATCGGCAAAATGAGGGTTTGGCTTACACATGAACATACCCCTATACATAACAATTATACATATGTATGTGCGTGTGGATTGTGTTAAGTTAGCTTTCGATTTTGTTTTTGCACAAGTTTTTAGTCATATGCTTGAGGTGGTAAGGCAAAAGGGTTGGGGGTTGGGAATAGGGGGAGGGTCTAAATGCATGTGCTGGCATCAGCAGAGACCCTCTAAATCTGAAAACCAGACGCTAATTTGATATTTTAATGACTTTTTGTTTGCAAATTACGCGTCGCTTTGTTATTATTGTTGTCGTCGGTGCCGGGTGCCCGATGCCCATGCCTGGTCCCTCGCATCCCGGCCCCTGCAACTCCGTTCGTTCCATATGTGGCCAAATGAGTTGTTGCTCATAGGATTGTTTCTGGCTTAAATAATATTGTGTGTGTGTCTGGCTGTGCAATTTGAGAAGGGAGCGCAACAACTGGCCCAGCCAAGCAAGTGCCCCAATTGCGGAGTGTGTCCACAATGGCGGTTAGCGCCATGTAGAGCTGGTTTGTTATTATCAAAACAAATCGGAAAATTGGCAGGATGTATAGTACTCCTATTTCACATATACTCTACAATGGACCTGGCTAATAATTATGTAGTGTTTTTAATTTTTCTAAACTTTGCTGATTCTCTGAACAAATATTTCTGGCTTCATTACAAATTAGTTTGTAAAAATTAAAATCCTACCTACATTGTACCAATTTTAATTCGTAATTTCTGTACCCAAAGGGTACAAGGGTATATTAGTTTTGTGCGAGTGCACATGGAACACACAGAAGGAGGCTTGGTAGACCCCACAAAGTATATATATTCTTGATCAGCATGACAAGCCGAGTCGATATAGCCATGTCCGTCTGTCTGTCCGTCTGTCCGTCCGTCTGTCCGTCCGTCCGTCCGTCTGTCTGTATGAACGCAAGGATCTCCGAAAGTATAAGAGCTAGAATAACCAAACTTGGTATACAGATTCTCCTGAGACCGAGAAAGGACGAGTTTGTTCATTTTTTCTGATCCACCCCCCCACTCCCCCCCTATTAACGATTTTCTATAACTCCCGTAATTCTTGGAATTTTGAACTAAAATTTGGTAGTCACATTAGGTTAGTAATTATATATCCGTATACCGTATAGTTTCATTATGATAGAATGATCAGAAAGAAAGTTATAGCCATATACCCATGCCCAATGCACACATACATACATATGTACAAGTACACAAACACGCATAAGGCACGATTCTGATGTAAATGTAAATGTATCTATGCATGCATGGAATATTTTATATTTAATTTAGTTAATTAATTAAATTTATTTAGTTAATTAATTAATTTAATTTAATTTAATTAATTAATTTAATTAAATTAATTTAATTACTTTTTTGTGGGGTGGTACAGGGTATTTAAGAGTTGAGCCTGCTCGACTTTAGCATTCCTTTCTTGTTTTATGTAAGTGTAAATACAGACCCGTTCGCGATTTCGATCAAATTTTGTGAAATCGATTTGTCTTAGTGTTCAGATTTGTACAAAATGAGGGATTTTCTTAAATAAATTTAATTTCAAATTAAAGAGGATTGTTACTTATTATACTTAGATTATTAATATGTATGTACAGTACATGCCCATTAGAGTGAAAACAATAAACCTCTTATTTTTAGTAAGTAATCTTAACGGATGAAATTCAAGCAAAACATCCATTAATTTTTAACCTAATATGCATTTATGACAGATCCTCAATCTGTGAAGGTAACAAAATAATTGATGCATGATTTTCCATAACTCTCGTAAATGCTTATTTTGTTATTAATATTCACATTGAAAGGTGAAGTTTTTAAAGTAGGCCCTCATGACTCTAAAATTCCACTCTTGTTTCCTGTTTGTGCGGATTATTCATTATGGAAAAGTGCAGCATGCTATTCTCGATCTGGAAACGGTCAAAAAATATAAGGTGTAATGCAAAAATAAATACTGAGATTTCGGTACACACATATGTATGTACATACTACATACACAATTTCTGAAAGCATGGTTCCTGGAAAAGCTAAATCAACTTCAGATCCCATTGGGAACGTCAAATAGCTTGTAACAATATTACAATACAAACTTGTAACAATGTAAGACGGGATCCTAGTTAGCGAAATTTCAATGTTATTTACAAATTTTTTTCGGCACAGCTATAGGGCCATCTAGAATTGGAGTAGTAGACTTTGTAGTAGTAGTACATTTTGAAAACTAAATTGTTCTTTGGGGAATAATGAAGGAATAAGTGGAAGAAAGCCTATTATTTTATCTATATGTATATATGTATGCATGTATATCCATAGGAATACGTTTAATTGCCAAGTCGGGTTATCTCTGAAGCTATTTGAGATAAATAATTCAGAAGAAATAATTCCGAAATATCATATTCATAGACTCACACACATATGCATGTATGTACATCCATTTGTAACTCTACAACGCTAAAAACAAAGAAATACTACCCCGACAGACAGACCCAGGCAAAGACAATAAAGCCCGAACTGAACATGCGAGAAGCTCAGAGCGGCCGGCGTACTATTTCCTTATGGTGCCAAAAGCCGCAGAAAACGTTGAGTATTGCATGTCCACACACACATACATACATATATAGTACACAAGCATGCATATGTTTGTATGTATGTTTGCCTGTGTATTAAAATTTCATGTAGCGTACGGATGAGTCAGCGAAATAATAAAAAAGGAAGCAGTGGTAATGAAGTTGAATAAACAATACTAAAGAAAATAAGCAACACACAGACACACACACACACTTAATAACGAAGGACACAACAAAAACAACGGCCAGATGAACCGTGATAAAGACGAAAGGTGAGAAGAAGGTACGAGCAAAGGTGTGTATATATGTATGTACATATGTATGTATTATAAGGGCTGCATTACACAATAAGAAAACAGCAAGAGTTGTATGAGAGCAGCAATAGCAACAATCAGCAGCGCGACAGAGAGAGAGAGAGAAATTAACAGGCAGAAGTAAAATATTAAAAGTGAATCCAAAAAAGAGCAATCATAAAAATAACCGTTGCTAATAAAGCGACGGGAGCGATTGCGCGGGTGTGTGCGTGTTCATGTGCATGTGTTTGTATGTATATGTATATGCATGAGTGTACTGGAAGGAAAGGGAGACGATACAAGGGAAAAGGCAACAGGTAGTTGAATCTTTATATGAAATTAACGTACATCCAAATGTTCATATGTATGCATGTATGTATGTATGTTTGTACTTTTGTAGCTGAGCGATCGACGGCGCTTGGTTCAAGTGCTGAATTAAGGTATGCTAAGCATTAAACAAAAACATACATACATACATACTTATGTACATATGTATGTAGGTAGTTTTAAAAATACAGAAGTAGTAAAAAGAATAAAATATATTTTATCAACTTACAGAACAGCAGGCAAATAAGACTTTGAGCGGTGAATGCTTTGTTGAAGATGAATTATTCACACAATTTTGTGTATGTATGTATATGCGCTTCTCCTTATTGTTTTGTTGTAGTTGTTTATTAAACCGTCCAGTAGCAGATGACGAAATGATGAAGCACGTTGAATTTAGTACAGGTTTGCGGTTTTTTATTATTTTTTATCTATACTTTGAGAATTTTGACACGTTCATAAAGACGCTCGCAGCGCGTATGAAAACACACCACACAATAAAAACTGGAGGATAGGGTGAATTATTTATAGCACGCAAATTTACAAGAGAGCGCCACTAAACTCACAGGCTCGATGAGGACAAAAATGTAAGCACTGGCAGGACCGGACCGCACGAAGAATGAATGCAATTAGAAGTGCTAATAAAACAATGCCGAAGGGCGGCGGAAAATGGCGCGCGTGTTCACTTTTTCTGAAAAGGGGGTAGGGGGGATGCGACAAGAGGACGGGGATCGACTGACCGTAAGTTGACGACGTTCGTACACTTAGGGATACAGGATTTAGGGACGCGCGAGCGCAAGGTCACGTTGCATGTGCAACAAGGAAACAAAGACGCGCAAAACGTAAGAATTTTGACAAACACGCGCAGAAAGTGTAAAGAAGGATACGAAAAAGCTGAAAACGAACGAAACAACACAAATTCCACGAAAACTACATATGTATGTATGTATGTATACTTATCGAATGCCAGAGTCGGACGAAACTAATTTTTTTGAAAACGACGTAAGAATCAAACATACATATGCAATTGCAAAGCTTAACTTTGTTAATATTTAATATTACTGGAATGCGTTATTCGCTTTTTATTTTCTGGCCAGCCGTTTAGCGGCACTTTTGCAGATAGCTTGCTTGCTTTGTTGTTGTAGGTTGCTGCTTTTTAAAAGAAAATATACTAATAATTTAATGCAATTTAATAGTTGACTGCTTTTGCTCATAACAGCATAATACACACAAATAACTCGTCGTCGTTGATTGCGTTTTGTTTGTTTATTTAAACAAATTCAATTGAAAACACGACGCCGACGTCTGCCGAACTAAAATTGGTGAGCGCTGCGTTCGCCACACTCACACGCGATCTGGTTGGCAACTAAACGAAAACTGATTTTGGCTGCTTGGTGTCGATCCGCATGTGCCCGCCCGGCCCGGAATGCGCACATTACTCTCTTTTTAGTACTCGAATTTAAGTATTTTTTAAGACAAACGCATTGGAGAAGATTTGCACAGCTCATGCAGTGTGTTTGCGCTTCAATGTAAATAATGCTGCTCCTAGTTATCGTTTTGTTGTCAATTAAAGAAATTAACAACAGTGCAATTTAACAAATTCAAACAGAAAACAGCTGATCGCTGGTTGTCTGGCCACTCTATTCTTGCTATACAATGCTGCGGTCACACATAAGCCATTTGCATTACTCACCTCAAGATCGTTCTACTCACCACAGTGGAACATAACACCACCTTGCGGTCGGGCAATACAAACTTAGGGAAATATTTATAGCGAATGTATTACGTAGCAGTGAGCTTGATACCGTGCACAAAGAATGCGTTACTTTTCAAACTTCTGAAACGCTTAGGCATTCCTGAAATGGAATGGAATATCAGCGATCAGATCAGTTTATTTTAAAGCCATCAAGCAAAATTTTATTAATTGTTCCAATTGTATATATTTCAAATACTCCCCACTAAGGCATTCTCATTTTAGGTTGCTTTCAAATTTGTTTCTGTTCGTAAATTTCAATGTCAAATCAAATGCTCAACACGTTTGGCACTGCATCGATGACTCACGCGTGACTCACTCTGCTACCACTATGTAAGCTTTAAGGCGAGAATTAAATTGATTGCGAACCAATTTGTATAAATTATTCGCAAAAACAAAGCGCTGCTGAGCAAATCGCACGCGAAGTGAGCCCGCTGGGTTGTAAATGAAATATATCAGAATCGAGAATCGCGCGTCGCACAAACCAATTCGTTGCATATAGTGCATTTAATTGGCTCTAAAAGCAGACCCGAGTTGAATCCATAAAAACAAATAAAAATACAAATACAACAAAGTGTAAATCAAAACCGCGGCGAGTCGCGCATCGCCTCAAGAAAAGATGAAAAATTTGTGAAATATTTGCATCAACAAAGAACTTCATCCCCAATGCGTTTTATAAAGTATAGTATGAATGCATGTACATATGTATAAAAAGCATGTATGGCCAATACAGGCCCATGCCCATTCGTTAAACCACATGCCATTGCCAAATTCCTGAATCGACTCGCCCGCTGCCAACGGATTCGCGAGGCAGCCAGCCAACTGCTCGTATTTTAATTTTAAATTAAATAAAAACAAAACAATATGAACTACCTTTTCTGCCGCTCTCTGTCTGTATTTGTTGTAGTTGTTCTTGTTCTTGATGTTGTTGTTGTTCTATTTGTAGTTAATAAATGCAAGCCAATTCGGGGAATTATGTATCGACGCATGTGGGCGACTAAATGAATTCGATTTTCTTAAGCAAATATATGCGCTACTATTTAGAATTTCCCCTGATTTTTGTCGCATCTGACTGCACCCTGTAGATTATTAGCATTAAATAAGCTGCAGAAGAATCCGTACAAGAAGGGTGCATTGAATAATAACCACTTAGTATTACTTTTTTGACACAGCTGTGAGCGAAATTCTTAGCCACTTGTACGATTGTTTCACCTTTCTCAGTTAGAGAGTGAGAGGGAATTGAAGAACTGAACAATTTTAGGATAGTTTTATTAACAAGTAATTAGTATGCATTTTGTTACCCCCAAGGGGAAAAAGGGTATATTAAGGCCCCATAAAGTATACATATATATATACACGTACAGTGAGTCACAGCTTGTTTCGAGCAGGCGTTGTGCAAATCTTTAAAACGCCGTAGCAAGTAAACGCTTTGTTATAACAAAATTTGGTGAATGTAGATTTGTAGCTATTTACTTAAAATATGTTTAACATGCTGAGTTCATTTCGAGCATTGCTTTATTTTGCAACAAACCAGAAACTATTCATATTGCAACCAAGAAAAAGGTCACAGCTTTTTTCGGATGGTCGAATGGCTAGCCAAATCGAGTTCTTCTTCTTCCATTGTAATTGACTATTCGTTAACTAATTTATTTCCACAAATTTTCCGTTTTTTCCCAATTCAATATAAATATTTTAGCATTTTTAAGAATGGGTGGCTGATTGGGGCGTTTATTGGTGCTCCTGCATTATAAAGAAGGCATTAGCCAACGGAAAATAGCGGGCCTCGTAGATCTGATTCCTAGTACAGTGCAGAGCATCATCGAACGTGAGATTCGGGTAACCACTAATTTTTACGGACTCGGATTAGCGCCGTATAGTACGAAAAATTAAAGAAAGCCCCATGCTATCAGCCCCAAGTTGGCCATAAAAATTAGAGGATGAACTGGTCAAAAAATCCTCTGCAGAAACTCTGATCCGAGTAGTGGAGAAACACGATTTCAATGGTCGACAACCTTTAGGAAGCCGCTTATGTCCACTTCAACTTGCCAAGGATCTCGTTCTGAAACCAATCTCATGGTGGGACGATATGTTTTTGAAGACGGCCCATAATACCTATGGGTCCGACGGAATGAAGCGGGAATGGCGTAAGCCGAATAATCCGCTTCAAAAGAATCATCTTATTCCCACATTTCGGCACGGAGGAGGAGGTGTACATGTTTCGGCCTATATGCCTGAAATTGAAAGTAACATTACTCCTCTGCACCTGTATGTACATCAGTGATGTGAGTCCAGATAAGAAGAAGATACGAATTAAACCATTTCTCATACAAGTTTGAAACTTTTTATGCTCTGTACATGAAATGTTCAGGTTTTGTATTAGGTTTGCGAGAGCTGAAAAATGTAACAGGCAGAAGGAGGCATGGCAAACCCCACAAAGTATATGTATGTATTCTCGATCAGCATGACCAGACGAGTCGGTCTATGTCCGTCTGTCTGTCTGTATGAAGACCCGAATCTCAGAGATTATAAAAGCTAGCGGCACCAAATTTTGCAAAAAGATGCCTTATGTGTGTACGCTTTGATTTATTTTGTGTAGAGTTTTTCGTAATTTACTGAAAACTTTTTATCTCTGAGACACCGATGTTTTGAGTAGAACCCAAATTTACTTCGTAACATCAAATATCAAAACATTTGGTGAAATCGAAAATAATCGCTGAAAACATGTCCTTTTACAACCCCTGCATCTTTTCGAGTTTAGTTCTAAAAATCGCATTTCTCAAAATCTATGGAGAACATTATTAAAATCGATTTCTGGTAGTATAGTATACAATGTTTAAGAACTCGACTCGTTTAATTTGAAAAATCATAATCAGGGGTGCTTCAGAAATCCCTTCTGACATCCCTTCTAACAAAGGCATTTTTCGAAATATAAATAATCATTGGAATATAAACTTTATAGTTTTTCTGTGCAATCTGCATCAAAAATATTTTGCATATGCTATGAAAATATTATTAAATTAGCAAATTACTAAGCCCCTAGTTAAAACACTAGCATTCACATACAGCTTCCAAAACAACCGAGCAATAGAGATTCCAACTTGGCCCAAATACAAAATTACTTTTTTCGAACATCACATTTTGCTCAATTAAGTCTTATTTTGTTAAACGAAAGTCAAAAATAAAATATATTTTTGACGCACTTCTGATTTCAAATACGAATTGTGTATGATTGTGTATTAATTAAAAAAACTTGGCGAAAATTTTGTGTCACCGTAAATATATATTGATGCTTTTATTATTTATTAAGCAAGTGCCGTTTAATTTTTTGTGGAAATCGTGAATAATATTTTAAGCTATGTAGCTAATTTAAAATGAAATACGGCTTAGTTTCGTGCGCTGGTAACTCTAACGAGTCTGTTAGCCTACTTTACAGTCAGTCAACTGTTACTGACAGCTGGCTTAAAGGGGAAGCTCGAAAAAATGAAAGCTCTAGATATTTCAACATCAACCCTAGCCGAAATCTCTAGAGATTCCTGTGGCACCCTTGAATAATACTAAGATCGTGTTTCGCGGAAGTTTAACTTAAGCTTATGTTATTTCCAGAAATAATGAAACAATTTGCGAAATATCTTACGGAAGGGTCCAATTGTCGGTCACTTTCCAGCAACTCTTGAATACATTTGTATTTTCATGATTGCCCAGCCCAGAAAAAACTAGCATCTGGCCTCGACTTCTATGAACATGAGCTTAGAAGTGTTTACTAAATAGACACAAAAAGAAAACGCTCTTAAGCTGCAAATGCATTTTAATTAAACGTTGGTTCCAATATTAGTTGATAATTTCACATTTTTCGGAATATTAGGGTATACCTATGTACATATTTCTGCCTTGATTTGAGCCCCTCTGCTATTATTTTGCGCTCTTTTCATAATATGTTATGTGGTTAGTTGCTCCAACAATGAAATCTACTTTTGTGCCAGCTTTTGCTTTATAACTGCTCATCACCAGTAGGTTCTTAACTAAAGTGAATAGTTTCCACTGCATATATGTACAAGTAAATAGCATTTGTAGTTTATTCCAATTTTACTGGAATATTTCTCGTTGCTATAATATCGCTGGAAACCTTAACAACAAAGTACATGCAATTGCGAAACGCTGGATTCCCAGCTGCTCATTAGTTGTGTTCGTAAAAGCTGCTTACAAGCTCCGATATGGCCTGGTAGAAGGAAGCTGACAACCTCTGTGTGCGGCTGTGCTGAGCCCATCGGACCGAGTTATTTGTAAAATTTGCACTAAAATGCAAACAAAAATGCTGTGCCAATGTGCAAATATTTGCATGGGCCCGAAAATGTTCTCAAATGTGGCGTTGATTGTGTTTTCTATGCACCGGTGGGCTACGGACGCCTACTTGCCAGCCAGAGCCATGCAATGTCCGACCTCAACCCCTACCCGGGGCACTCATCGACACACATACTCGTACAAACATACATACGTATGTATGCATGTGTACGTATGCATCTTTATTTCGCATTGTTGCGAAAAGTTTAAAACAATTGAAAAAGCATCGGGAACTAATACTTGTACAAGTGTAAACAACACATGCAGCTCGCATATAGATAAACATGCCATATGTACAAATATACACTACCGATCAATCGAATAGACTCACCATAACTTTCAAAGTTACGCGAAAATTCAGTCGGTCTGGGGTCTGTGTTTTTCATTAAATTTTATCAATTTTTGAGACATTGTGAATGTGAATGAAAATTCGTTCAAATCTGGGTCTAAATAGGGGAGAAGGCAAAAGTTGAAAATTTATTGGAAATAAATTAAGAAGATTTTATATTATCTCAGATTTAAAACTTAAGTGCTAGCCAATAAAATATTTTTATTGGACTACAAACTCTAGCATTCCTCCTAGAGTCGAGAGGGCTCAATTCTTTAATAACCTGTTCCCACTCCCAAAAATAAGAAAAAATATTTTTAAAATACATTTTAAAAAATTTAATTAAATTAACAAAAAAATTTCCAATACATAAGTGGAGACATTTGGGTGCAGTACAGAATGAAGTCAACAAACAACAACAACAGCTACGGGCAGAGCTTGGGCAGAGATTACATTTACATTCGGTATAACTTTTTTCATAATTGAGCTATCCTCATGAAACTTGACATACGGGCACATAATCACTACTTCGATGTAATTACAATTTAAGTTAAAAGTTCCAAGAAGTAGGTGAGTTATAGAAAATCATTAATAGCGATCGAGTGGGGGTGCATCTGAAGAAATAAACAAACTTGTCCATTCTTGGGCTTAGGAGAATCTGGAGACCAAGTTTGGTTATTCTAGCTCTTATACTTTCTGAGATGGGCAGACAGATGGACAGACGGACATGGCTATATCGACTCGTACTCGTCTTGTCATGCTGATCAAGAATATAAGTATCAACCTTGTGGGGTCTGCCACGCCTCCTTTTGCTTGTTGCATGTACACTCTCGCACAAAACGAATATACCCTTTGGGTACAGGGTATAAAAATGGTTCATTTGGAATTATTGGGACTATTTTACTGGTCGGGAGTGTATTTGTTTGACGCCTAAAAGTATCTGCTTAACTGCACAAAGACAATAGCAAATGCTGAGCAAATTTGATTATTTCGTTGATATTATCGACAACATTTCCGCCCACTAGAGCCACTAGGCTCGCAACCCATGAGCACACACACACCTACACACATACTTGTAGACAAATAGACATTGCCAATTTCTAAAATAACAAACAACTGAGCTGAATCGAAGCTCCAGCCAAGGCAATGGCAGAACAGCCACAGGTTCCGCAGCTAACACATTACCTTAAGTTTGGTTTTATTTAATCAACGAAGAGGATTACCTATTTATATGAACCCTTGAATGAGGTTTCTCCACACAACCAAATAATTTAAATAACTTAAAGAAGCATTTTTGAAATGAAAGATGAAATTTTAAACATATAAATCAAACCAATCTCCACAAACTGATTGTCTGTAATTTCGATTCTCCATTCCTTTTACGTCGTCTTAGTTTCTCAGTTCCTTGCAGAACAATAAAAAATTATCTTCCCCTTTTGGTTAAAGCATTGCATTGATTAAGCATTGCACAATCCTTTTCGGGTTTTATGCCTAACCTATTATGAGTTTTTTCATCCTTTCACCCTTTTCAGCCATGTGTGGAAAAGGAAAAGCTGTGAGACGGGACATAGCTTGCCGGACTGGCTAATGAATCTTAACCCCCCAGGGTCTGAGATTAAATTTTTTTAATAAATAAACTAATTTTCATGTGTTGGTAGAAGTATCTGGATAATGGATATTATTAATACAGAAACATACCTTAATACTTTACTGAATAAAACACAATAAATTGATTGTGAGTTAATAAAATGTACTTATATTCCTCTTTGGCTTCAAAAACTTTTTAACGACTTTTCGGAACCAAGTCCACTCAATAAAAAAGGATCTCGTTCCAAAGAGAAGACGCTCTTTGAAGTTTATTCTTTGGTTTTGCAGAGACGCATTTCTTTTACGTTTTTCAAAAAACCACAAAGCTACCTAATGAATACAATTAGAGATATGCACAAAACGGAATAAATGACTCCTTTTACAATAATTAAACGAAGGCATTGATAAAGTTTTAGAATTTAATTTCTGTAACTGGTACAAAAAATCGACCTGTAGCTTATGAACTGAAAACAAAACAACAATGCTGAGCATTTAAATTATTTTTCAGCGAGTTGCGTAGAAAAACGATTGAATTATTGATATATTGCGAGTACTCAGTATGTGTAATATTTTAGTATATTTCGTTGTGCATTTTGAAATACATAAGCTCTTTTACATACATACTCCTATGTAGATACATACAGGTATGAAGGGCATTTGAAATTGATGGCAACACAAAGTGAATTAAAAAATGTATTTTTTGCAAGCTCCTTGCCCATCCTTGAATGTTCACTTTTTATTATCTACATATACTTGCTTGCTTGCCTATACTTTTAATTAAATGGAGTTTCAATCATATCAATTCATATCATTTATTTTTATGATGTCTGATATGTTTTTGAGCTCAATTAATTTAACTAAAATAAAACGAACAGACATATAGCCATATACATTTCAATTGCACACGTTTTTCATCATCGGGTTTGCACAAATACTCCCAGAAGCACTAATAGTATATAATTGTCGAACTTTTTGGCTTAGAAGAACCTGGCTACCAAGTTTGTTGTTTCCCTTACACTGTCCTGCTGAGACAAACAGACAGACAAGTCTCTCTCAACCTACTTACTTTGTAGTCTGTGCGGTCTGCCCCTCTCCTTCGAAATAGCTTTTCATAAATACTTATCTGATTTTTCAAAATATTTAAAGTTTTAGCCACATTTTCTTTATTATGCAAAAACAAAGCTCTGACCTCTCCAAAATTAAATTCGAACTCAAGATGATTGCATTAATTGCTCTTCTTCAAAAAAAAATTGCATTTCTCTTAGAGACCCTTTTGGTTTTAAAATGTGATATTTGGTTATAAAACATAAATTTGTCCTAAAAATACATATGTTTTAGCTTTTGAGAAAGTAATTAGCAAAATACGTAAAAATGAGACTAAATAGCGACTAAATAGCGGTTTTTTTGATGCCAACTTCGAGGGCCAACACTCATTTCTATTGTAAGATACTGCTTGAAATTGATTCTTTTGCAAGTTAACTCCGGATTTAATTTTATTTAAAAAGCTTCAAATTTATTATATTATATGTTGCCATTCTCTCAATCAATCGTTTCCTTCAAACGCTCAATTAACTATAGTCCCTTCAGCCATCCTGTGATATTTGTATCATTTAATAATCCCATCTTCATTTCCGACTATTCTGCGGGATTTTGTAAGAAAAAGGGCCTCCCTTTTCCCCTCTGAGCTTCTATATTTGAACGGAATGACAAGCCTAGCTGCTTGACTGCCAGCAGGACAGTGAGCTGCTAGTAGTCCTTTTGCAGTGGATAGGTTGATCCTCTCCTGTGTGCTGAGTTGTCGTGTCCAGCTTTGTCCTTGCACACTTGTTGACTCCTTTCCCGTCAAAAGCTTTAAGAGAGTCAAACGTAGGATTCTGTGCTTATCAGAAACCATTTGTGCGCGGGTACCCTTTCTGACGAGGTCCTTTGCGTTGCATTTGGCTTCAACGTTCTCTCTTGAAAACCACAATGGAACTGTTTGCCTTTTGAATGTTTTAACGTCATTCGACTACTATCCAGTGCCGTTTTAGTGTCGTATTTAGTGAACTAATCATGGCATTCAATTATTTTCAACCACTGTTCATTGCGCTCCTTTCCACTCCCACTCGAGTGACATTTCCCCAAACACTTACGAGTATATTTGTGTCAGTTTTGTTCGCAAACTCTCAATTTGCCGCTAACTCGCGGCAGAGGCAATTATGTCGAGCGCGAGCGTTTGCCAGTTACCACTAATTACAGCAACTATCAGCAGCAGCAGCAACAACACTAACAATCGCGTCAGCGACAAAGCCAAATTATCAACGCAAGTTATCGGGTGAAACTATCAAGCAACGACCGCGCAAACACACGCTCCCACACACTATTTAATACAATTACTGCATTCTGATTTGGTTTTAGCGGCGACGACGACGGCTTCATTTGTTCAATTGTGTGGGGCAGAGTGTGGGGCGACCACAACAAAGAGGCGGCAGCAGCAGTAACAGCAGCAGCAGCAGTAACAGCAGCAGCAGCAGCAGCAGCAACAGGGCCATGAATGAAATTAGGGCGGAACAAAAAGGTAAGCCTACAGGAATGACAACAAACCGAACTAATCTAGCTTCCCGGCCTCCCCAGTTCCCTGCCTCGGCCAGCGTCATTTGCAGGCTTCGCTTCTCTTCATCGGACTGGCAGTGAACACCATATTGCAATACAATGTGGGCGTGGCAGTGGTGGCCATGACAAATTCCACCCCCAGCAGTGGACAAATACCAGTTAGTATAATCAGAAGCCATGGAACGACTCTAAGAGTTGGTGGAAAATAATGATATATCGTAACACTAAGTAGTGCTAGTGTTCTGATTATCTCGACCCGCCTTTAGCTCAGTCAGTTGTCATCTCAATTGCAGGCCAACAAGATACAACTAGTTAGACTGGCTTCTCCCAACCAGGTGCAGGGTTCTCTAAGATTTTCTTTGTAATGCTAATGCTAGCCAAGACATATTACTTCCACCTACCGAATCCTAATCCGTGTCCGAAAATGTTTCTAATGTTAAAACCAGAGAGAACGCTACAGTCGGGGCATAAAGAAGGCAAAAAGAAGAAGAGAATAATAAGAATTCATAGAGTTAACTGATTTGGATCAAATGAAAGCAAGAGTAGATTATTATGCATTTCGTGTACAAAGCTTACTTTTCGTATCTTTGGAACTATGGGCAGTATTGACGAAATTCTGAAGCGGAGGGAGGGGTGCAAAAATCCATAAAAATTAAATGCACTCGTGTTGCCTGGCGATAAGGAGAGTTTACATACCAAGTTTGGTTAATGTGGAATCAGACGTCTCCAAAATCCAGGCGTTCATCCAGACGGACGAACTGACGATTAAGAATATAGATACTTCATGGGGCCTATTACACCTGATATACCATTTTTATCTTACGGGAACGCGATATAAAAAATGAGAATTAAATTTATTTGGCATGTCTATACTCCAATCATCGGTTGAGGGCACAGCAATTAAACTCTCCTAGTCCGATTTTATTTCCATTGCTTCAACAATTCCAAAGCTCATGCGGATTGTTAAAATCTAAGAAAAGTTATCAGGACAATACTGAGCCAGGAGCTACTACTTCCTCTACTATAAAGTCAGAGCATTATATAGCTGTCATCGAAACGATATGCTACGTATAGAGTTTTTGTATAAAATACTGAAACAAGATAGAATGCCGACCACAATATCTCATTTCGCTGAAGTATGCACCTTAAAAAGAAATAGAATGTAGAATTAAGAGCAAGGCACCTACCTAAATACCGCATACCTTTCAATTACCTTCGATAGCTGGTTAGAAAGTTAAGATGTATTTGTACACTCATATATGTATGTATGTATGTATGGTTACTTTTTTGCAGCATTACAACTGGACGGAGCCGCAAAAGTCGTACATTCTCTCGAGCTTCTACTGGGGCTCCACTCTGACTCAGTTTCCCGGCGGTTACTTGTGCAAGCGCTTCGGCGCCAAGACGGTGCTCCTATGGGGCAGTCTCGGATCAGCGCTTCTAAGTGCTGCAACACCTCATGGGGTGTACGCGGCCGGTTGGCGCGCCTACTGCCTCATCCGAGTGCTGCAGGGTCTGTGTCAGGGCGTGACGTTGCCCTGCGTACACCAGCACCTGGCTAACTGGGCTCCTCTGAAGGAGCGCACACGGTTGGGCGCTTTCGCCTACACAGGCTTCGACTGCGGCAATGTGCTGGCCATGTATGCAGCAGGCCTGTTGGCGAGCTCTCAGCTGGGCTGGCCTGGCATTAGCTATGTGTCGGCCATTTTGGGGTTTGTTTGGTGCTTGCTCTGGTTGCTCCTAGGCATCAATCGGGCCAGCAACGCCCGCTGCATATCTGAGGTGGAACGTTCCTTCATAGTGGGGGATGTGCAGCGCAGTGAACGGCAGCAGCGACGCCTCCCGATTCCATGGCGGTGTATCTTCCGATCGGCGCCATTCTATGCCTTGCTGTGTGCGCGCTGCGCCGACACCTGGGGCCTGGCGACAATGCAGGCGGAGCTGCCCGCCTATTTAAGAGGCGTTCTCCAGCTGGACATGAGGAGCAACGCCCTCTACTCCGCACTGCCCTTTTTGCTGATGTGGGCCATGTGCTATGTCTATTTGATCGTCGCAGACCTGGCCCTGCAGTGTCGCTGGCTAAGTCTGACAGCGCTTCGAAAGAGTTTCAATAGCATTGCGCTGTGGACGCCCGCCTGCATCCTCATTGCCCTCGGGTTCGTTGAGTCTGACCAGAGGCCGCTGGCCCTAGTCTTGGTAACGCTTAGTGTAGGCGTGAGTAGTGCAGCGACTATTGGCAGCGAGCTTAACACGATTGATTTATCGCCAAACCACGCCGGCATACTGGCGGGCATTCTCAGCACCTTCACCAATGTGGTGGCGCTCATAACGCCGCTGGTGGTGGGCGTGCTCGTGGAACGACAAACGGAGCGCGGCGAGTGGCAGCTGGTGTTCAGCATTGCCGCCCTGGTGCTCTTCGCGGGCAATGTTGTCTACCTGATTTGGGGTACGGCAGAGACCCAGAAATGGGATGCTGTCAGCGAGGAGGAGGAGCAGCCTGAGGCGAAGGTTTTCGAGGATGCCAGGCTGGAAATTTTACTTAACAAAGCATCAGCGTTTAGTAAATAAATACCAATTCTCACTATTGATAACACAGTTGTTCTACTCTGAAATAAATAGAAGAATAACTTCTATATCCTGGACCCTACGGGTTTGTGCAAATGACCTCGAACGTGTCTATAAATGCGATGATATTTTAGATCATTTTTTATTCAATGTATAAAAAATTCAGATGTAGGTTCGATTTGCGCCACATGATGCATTTTCTTTATTTCTTTTGGCTGTGTACTTGCGCATATTTTTATTCATAAACCAATAAATCAAGTCCTTGTCAAAATCGCTTGAGGATTTGAGCGAAATTGGTCGAAAATGTGATATTTATCATAACTATTAGTCAACACTCACCAAGAACTGTAAACTGTTTAATAAATCATGTTGTGCTTAGCACTTGCACGGTTAAAGCTACGTTCTGACACGCAGACTCTATGCTTAGCGTCTGTCAATAACATGTGCTGGATGTTCACACAGTCGGCAGCAGACTTGATTTCTCATAAGTCTGTCACAGGCGAACGGCTAGTTGATAACGATTACCTTGTCTGAGCTATCGCTGGTACAGCTGATTACACAAACGTGATTGGAAGGAAATAGCCAGGGAATTCCAAGTATTAGATGTGGGTCCTTGGGCCCTATGTTGGTGCCGACAAGAACGCACCGCCAAATTCTTGCAGCAAGTTCTACAATTATAGAGCTAGAAATCGGAAGGCTTCTGGCACCATTCTGTCTAAGGATCACACCTCATTTTTGGAATGCCTGCACCCATGATGCTAGAAGGCGATGATGTACTTATGCTACATAACTCAAATGTAGGGGAAGTCAAATATTTGCTGGACATTTTTATCAACAACAAGACGAGCTGGTACGATTGCAAGAAACAACTTTATTTTTATTAGGCATTTTATATCGACTCAGAATAATCTTGCCACTAATCAGCTATAGCAGTAGTTCTTGTGGATTATCAAGTAAGGCAGGTCTATGAATCGATTTTTTTAATTATTGCTTCTAACCCACAAATCGTTTATGAAATTTAGTAGATGTCTGTCCAAGTAGGAAGTTGAGTTTATACCTCAAACCGAACTTGAATATGATATATTCACTAGTACCTAGAAATATTCATTTTTATCAATGAAGATTAAAGTTTTCTTTCGCTGAGAATAGAGAAGAAACACCATTTGTTGGTCCGTAGATTAATCTTCCCATGAGTTTCAAAATTAAATTAAATTAATTAATTGAATAACAATGAAAATTAAAGGATGTTCGCTGCAAACAATTGGCGTGCAGACACGTTCGCACGTGCTTGTCGGCAATCCAATTGTCTGCGTGTCCGAACGTGGCTTAAGTCGTTTGTATAATAATAACTCGAATTGGATAAATGATCACTTAATCTGCCAATAAATCTATAAATGTTACCTGTGTCTGTTTGTTTATTACCAATAACTGACTAAATAGTTGTAGCTCGTGAGTATTTTTTGGCAACCAAAATATTGTAGTTGCAATAAAATAAATTTAGTTGCAGTCTAAACTAAATTTATTACCCATGTTTAGGCCAAATGTGCTCGTAAGTAAATCCTGAAGGAGGCCTGCTGGTCATTTATTTTGCACACGCCTCGACAAACACTCTTCTTTTCTACTGGCTTGTGCACCTGTGCCAACGCATAAAAGTATGCAATGCGAGCGGGTGGGGGGCATGGAGACAATGGGAGACAATGAGAGACAACGAGGAAGTCTCTTGCATAAAGAAGACATTAAGCGTGCGGCGTCCGCAGCAGGAATAACAATAACAGCAGTAGCAGCAACAACAATAACACACATAAATACTTACATAAATAAATAACAGCTGTTCACTTTCCGCTACAAGCCATTTTTGTTGCATATTTATAGGCGCATAAAATATTGTCGTTTATTTTTAATTTAATGACAGAAATTTGTGCGCATCCCGTGAGTTTGAGGCCTGCGTAATTTCCATTGGTAATGGCCTGTAACAATTGCAATCTATCTTCGCATTTACGACAAACAAAACAATTACAACAACAAATATCACGACGTGGCTGTTGTGGCCCCCGATGCTGCTGCACACGTCCAAGCAGCCTCATCAGTCAACCTGGCGTTTGGTGTGTGTCTCTCTGTGTGTGTGTGTGTGTGTGTGTGTGTGTGTGTGTGTGTGTGTGTGGTGCGTGGGGTAGGAAGAGAGGGAGGCAGCTGTACTCTGTTGGTTGATAAAGCATTTCATTCACATTCCCATTGTACCGTTGTACCTTTTTTCTATAATGCTGACCACTTGCTACCATCCTCATCATCATCATCATCCGAAGCAGGAGCAGGAGCAGAAGCAGCAGAGCCCATGCTGCTGCTCATTTAAATGAAACGCAATAATTTTGGCGCCATTATTTGTTACGTTTTCTGCTACGTGCGCTAAATGAGACGCGACGCACTTCCGGCCCACCTTCGCCCGCCCCTCCAGCAACTATTTGCCCTGACCCATTAGCAATACGTTTGAGTTACGTGCGTGAAGATTGCGTTATTTATAACAGACAGTGTCTGGCAACGGGGAGTGGAGCTGGAGCTGGACCTCAACATGAACCTGGACCCACATCATATGTTTGTTTACGCTCTCAAATTGCACGTGCCGCTTGGCTGGGCGACGCTTTGGACAAAATTAAAACGTTACGTTGAAAAGTTGTTGCCACCTCGTTGTCGGCGATGCGACTGCTAATGATGCAGTCCTTTTGCTCTTGTCGCTGCCACTAGGTCCACGGAAAAGTGCAAGACGCATGACGGTGGCGGCCTTAATTAAAAGCACCTTGCCCGCCAGTTGGCTGCCGAAAACATATAGCCGTACACACTTATATATGAGTCCAAAACTAGCTGGGTTTATTCACAAAAAAAACATAAAAAAAGAGAACTCAAGCACAACTCAAACCGAAAACTTTGTGCGCGCGTACATGTTGCACTTTCCTATTGCCAACTTTCAGGCGCTGGTGCGTGTCTGCGAGCACGCCTTCTCGCTTCTCAACGCTCGAACATGTGTGCGTGTGCCAGTGTGTGTGTGTGTGTGTGTGTGTGTGTGTGTGTGTATAGCAGCTTCTAATTAATGTACGCCCAAAAACTTTCGGCAACAACAAAATGTGTTATAGCATCAAAATAAAAACTGAACCTCCAAATTGCACAACTCAACTGCCAAAAACAACAACAAGAACAACAAGAACAACAATAACAACGACAACAACCAACAACAACATCAAAAACTCGACAAGCATTACTCGTTACCCATTACGAGTAAGTCAGCCTCAGTATGTGTCTAGATTAAGTTAAAAATTCAATTTTCTCCGCCCAACTCAAGTGAACAAATTTCGAATATAAATCGTTTTTAGGAATTCTAGACTAGCCTCAACTGCTTCTCAGTAGAGCCGGATATGTGCGAGAAACACTTGCAAACATTTTTGTCCATCGACAAATTGGCCAAAATGGAAAATTAACTATTTTCCAAGTGAATTATTGCCAGTTAGAGAAACTATCTGCACTCGAACACTTTTGAGCCGCTTCGTACATACTCTTACATACCTACATATCTGAATAGGAAAGCCAATTAAATATAAATGTCTTCATGCAAATGAATTATAAGCTCTGATACTTTTAAAATTGAATAAGTGAATTAGTTATTAGTTGTGAATAATATCTACTGTAGCTCCAACCTGCTAATTTATGAAATCCAGTTCTTTTCAAAGAATAGTTAATTCAAAGGCAGCACATATTGATTTACTCTTAACTCTTTGGTTTTTAAATATGTTCTTGTTTTTTATGAAAAAATATATTTATATTCCGCTTTAATGTAAAAATAAAAATTATTTCAAACATGTTCGATGTTTTTGCAACTCAATGCAATACAATTAAAGAAAAAAAAAATTTTTTTTTGATTATAATGTAAATATAACATCTTATTCTTATTAAGTCAGTTTTTTTTGCTTTTAAATTCTGTTACCTTCTTAGGCACTTGTTCTTTCTTCTTTAAGTCTGCCGCAGAATTAACTAGCCTAGAAATCTTCTCGACAAATATTTCAAATTCAGTTGTTGTCTTAAGCCTTTCAACCTATTGTAGGCTAGCTTTTGAATCATTATTTACATTTCACAGAATCATAAAACTAAAGACTTTATAGTTTTCTAGTTTATCTGTATACATTTATTCTACTATACTCGTATGTGTGTTTTTCTAAATCATGTCTTCGCTTTACTATTTCAATAATAGCAGGGCTGGTTCTAATTTAGTTTGGCCAATTTTCGAACAGACATTGATTAGTTCTTACTGGTAACCCCTTTTTCCCAATATTAAAGCCCCGCTTTCGTTCCCTTTTTGGCAACCCCTCTATTCAAACTTAGTTACATCACTACTTCCGCTGGTTTTAAACGAATAGCCAATTGGGTACATAAAGTATATTTTTCCATGCAAGTAGCTAACAACGACGCGTCGCGGCTGTTAGAAGTCATCAGCAGGATGGAAAAATTCTATACAGGAGTACATATTATCCGATTAAATGTGTGCTGACGGATAGGAGGACGAACAAACGGGAATGTCTGTGTTGATTCCTCTCATCATTATAGAGTACACACATTTGTCGATTACCCCTCGGGTGCGACCATGTTAGACACGACATTGCCGCCTCGAAACCAGCAGATTAAATGTTCGAGTAGTTTTAATCGCTCCTTGAAACTCGATTTTTTTCTAGAAAATAAAACCCTACTAGACGTTTTGACGTTGTGAATGCTTTTAATTGGCTGGGATTCAAAATAATTAATTTTTATTTCCCCTACTCTTACGCATGAAAAGCATCTTGATTTGAATTTGTTAAGTACCATATATGCCAAGATTTGATTCCCGAATACTTGAACGTCGAACCTTAAAAGTGGGTTTTAATGCATAGGGAATCGCTAAATGGCAAAGCTCGTCTTATATCGTAGCTCTATAAGCGTTTGAAACGGGCAGCAGAAAGAGAAAACTTGGGGTGAATGAATTGAAAATCAGTTAAAAAATAAAAATAAATATGTAATTTATTGAAAATTCACAAGGCGATGCGCCCTTTTGTTGTGTAGATGAATTCTTTATGGCATTTGCCTTTGCATGACGTTGACAGCGGCTGCCAATTGCCAGCATTGTTGGCGTCCCTCAAAAGCGTCAAAAATAAGCAACTGAGGTGCCACACCCACAGGCACGAACGGGCTGTTCGTGCAGCTCAATCCTTTTGTGACATGTGTGGTATGTACTCGCATGTATGGATGTACCTACATACATACATACATATGTATGTATGTATGTATGTGCGTTTGAAATATGACGCGAACGACTGAAGCTGTTCTGTGCTGTACTGTATTGCTGGTTGGAGTGGGGTGCCGGGTGGCGGATGGCGTTGGGGTAGAGGCTCATCAAAGGAGAGTGGGTGCGGGTGCGGGTGCAAGCATCAACAATGAATGTAATTCAATATGCAAATTGGCGACAACAATTTTCTACTTTTTCAGCTGTTTTCCATATAAATTTGCAATGCTACTTCAGCTACATGTATGTACATATGTATGTAAAACTTTATGTTGGACAGGGGCGGAAAGGGGCGTGGAAACTGAAGCTGGAGGCTTGCGCTGATTATAGTGTAGTCGTCCGTACATTTCTCCCACAGGAAAGCACGGGGCAAATTCATTTGCAAATATTTAACCGCTAACCAAAATCCATTTGAGTATCAACATATTTTGTCATTAGGTTGCGCATGAAATGCGCCAAAGTTGCCACGAGAGCATCGGCGGCAGCAGAGGCCAAGGCAGAGGCAGAGGTATCGACAACCACATGCGAAAAGGGGTGCATGGAGGGGAGGTGGTCGGCGGAGGCGGAGGCGGCGATGTTGCCTAACGTTGATAATGATGTTGTTGATATGTACTTTGCCCAAATGAATGTGACTGTGTGATTGTGTGTGCGTATGTCCATGTCAGCTAACCACAAGCCACACACACACACACACACTCGCACACAGGACAGAGAGCAGAGTTTGCCAGAGCATGTCCTGGCCGAGCCTACTTGCCATCGTGTAGTAATTAATTAGACTCGCAGGCATTTTATATGATGAACAAAGCGCAAGAGTTCGGTTTGCTGCACTGTTCGACTGCAGCATCAGTTTCGGCATCGCCTCATCTTTGCCGCCCCCGCCCCGGCCCGCACCGGCCCGACTCACCGCCATGCCGCCCCTACGCCCCCCGCCGCCCAGCTCTTGCACTAATTGAACATGAAATGGTATCCCATGCAACTTGTCATCCTGCAGCGCTTTGTCTGGGAGCCCAAAATTCATCAGCGCCGATGTTGCATGAGTGCAGCTGACAGCACTTGAAAACTGCATGACGCACTCGACCCAGGGTCGTACTCGCTATCCCTATCTGTACTATCCCCCCATTACTATTCACATTCTCATTCGCATCCAGCTCCACCTCCATATGCACACAATTGGACATCTTCATCTCGCACTGTTATGCCTTTGGCAAGCTATTTTACCGAGCCCAATGCAGTGCGTGTGCTCGTCCTGTGCCCAAAGTAGCCAAAGTCCTTGATATGTTTTCTCTGTGGTCTGCTCTTAGCGTCCGTCGGCTGTCGGCTGTCGGCTGTCGTCCATTTCGAAACTCGAATTAAATAAGCACAAATCAAATATTTTGCTATTTCTGTCCCCGCATGCCAATGATGGGTGTTGATGTGGATGTCCAGCGTGCTCTGATTTGTGCCTGATTTGTTTTTGGACTCGTCCAGGCATTGATTTATGTGGTTACTGTGGCATGTTTTGGAACATTTGTGGCTGCCTCTCAGTTTATTCGGGGTTTAGTTGGCTGGGTTTATTGTCGAGAAAAATTAAGTCGCCAGTAATATGTATGTGCTTGCCAGTCCAGATCCAAGTTTGTGATTTTGCTTTTCTCTGTGTTCGGAGTGTCTTTGCAACTTAAATTTATTTCAATGCCAAATGGTCCGGTGGCATGCGATAAGTAAAGCTTCAAAGAATATTTGTATACCCTTTACATATAGGTAAAGAAAGTATTAAAGCTAGAATAACCAAACTTTGTATCCAAATTATCCCATGCCTGAGCAAGTACGAGTTAGTATTTTTTTTATTTTCATTTAATTATTGAATTAAATTTTTTACAATTAACTTTTAAAATATATATATTCTTTTTGTACAGGGTATATCGACTATATCATTCCTTTCTTGTTTGAAATAATTAGAATGTTACCTCGTTTGCCTTACTATATACGCTTAGTATCTATGTACATACATATATATGTATGTATGTTATCTGGCATTTGCATAGCAAAGCTTCAAAACCAATTTATTTGATGAACAATTTATGTTTTTTTAGAAATCACTTTAAACATTCATCTCGACCCAGAAATGCAATTAAACTGTGCACATTTTTGTGCAATTATCGGTTCAGAACTATTTGAGTTTTAACTTTAAACACAAACTAACTTTCTATTTTTATTTTGGTAGAAGAATATACATTTGGAATTTCAAGCCCCAGTTCCCAACACCACATCGACGAGGTCCTTCCCTGGCTGTAATATAATTCGCTTTTAATGGCCTAAGAAATTATAATTCACACTAAATGATTTAATAATAAAATGTTTTCTTAAATCTAAAATATCCGTTTCAACTGTGTACCAACGAGTAGTATCGAATGAGACCGGTCTCGATATTTTTGCAGCCCTGGTTGGTGTGTGACTGCTTCTCCTAATGCGGTCACGGCAGCAATTTTCAAGTTTTTCAATAACGATAACAACTGTAAAATTGCCGCTACAACTTGCTCATCGATGTGTTGACTGCCGATATCCATACACCGAAAAATTTTAACTTTTATGAGTTTGTGAAAGTTACATTCTGTTAATTCTGTCTTAGAATACAGCTGATTAGTACAAAAGGCATTCTAGGTACCATAAACTTTTTTGAAATCGATTCACTTTATGAGTACATCATGTAGCTGCCAGCGAAATGATCGGTGAAAAGCTCACCCTTAACCTTACAATAATCGGAAGCTTTATCGGAACTAGTAATTTAATATTTAAGGCAGATGTATGACCATCGACTATGATAGACTTTTGTGTTATTCTAAAAGGTTGTTATTTGTTATTGTTATTTTATTCCTAATGTGGACTGATCATACAGCATAATATTCGCATTACTACTGACTACTAATTTCAAGCTTGCAATATAAAAAACTTCTGCTGATTGTATTGCTTTTTGCTAAAGGTGTCGCTTCGTGAAATGTGGATGCAAGAACCAATTCGTCAGCCAATAAATCGAATAGAGGCAATACATGTTATCGGTCTATTTGATAATTATCAACTGTCATTCTATTTTTCGTCATTTTGCATTTGTAGCTTCTAGAACTAAACTCTCGCTTCGTAACTCAATTGCGCACGAAAGCCTCAAAACAAACACGAATTGTGTTTATGTTTGCATTTTATAGGTAACCAGAGCTGTTGGGAAACAAAAGAACAGTTTGCCATTTCACGTAAACACCTCCAATTGACGCCGCTCATATCGATAAACAAACAACACTTCTACGAATGTTTGTTTACGCAGGGAGCTTTAAAAATTCGAAAGAATTCCAACTCTCCAATTTATGACAGACGGACGAATGTCGCCAGCTTCGCCCCGACTCGAGCTTAGTTTCGTCCAAGATTTCGACAAAGTAAGGTAATCGTTATCGTACAATTGCAAAAAGCGGGACCAGCGATCGGCAAACGGCCATCCATCCAATCAACCAACCCACCAGCAAGTGCATTGGAAATGGCTACGGTTGTAACAGCTGGTGAGTGAAGGGGTCTAATTAACAGGCCTGCGCTGGAAGCGTGTGGAAATTATGACAAATTTAAAAAGCGAGTGTGTGTGCCTCTGAATGGCTGTGAGAGTGTGCAAGAAATAAAAACAGGTGGCACGGTCGCCTACGCGCGTAATTGCCGGCGCCATTATAGCAACAAAGGCTGCAAAATGGCAGCCCATCCCTAGGTACGAGTGTGCATGAGGGCCCCAACGGGCTGACCAGCACAACAAAAGCGAGACAAAAGCCGCCGCAATCGTCATCATCATCATCATTATAATCATCGTCATCGTCATCGCCATCGTCGTGCCTGTGTGTGCCGTTCGTCACGGCCGTTTGTGGCTCATTGGTTCGGCATGGCAATTTTTCATGGCTCCACTGTGGGTTCGTCGTGTTGGCTGGCTGCCTGCCTGCCTGCATGCCTCTCTGCCTGGTTGGCTGGTTGCCCGCCTAGCCTACCCGATATAAATTAACCGAAACGTATTAATTCTTTTTATTTCGCCTTGCCCTGCCTCGCCTTGGCCTTTTTATATGCGTGCAAAAATTTATGCCTGAATTAAATATGATGACCCAAAAAGCAGGCGCAACGTGGTGCAGCACCACCAAAAATACGAGAACAACAGTGCTGCTCGGGAATGTTGTGTCCTTATTTACACATGTACTCTACGCATATACGCGTTGTAATGAAGGACGACGGTGCCAACAATTAATCTTCAGCGTCGGCGCACGTGTTTTATTTACCCGAGCATACGCGATGGAGGCCGCCGCCATGAGTTGAGTGTCCATTTTGTGGTTGCTTCACAATTCAATTTTCACAGCCATTTCCAAGCGAGTATCCAAGCCCAAGCCCCCGCCCTTTCCTCCTGCGCCCATTATTTTAATGTACTTCGCTTCATTACAATGACAAACGAAACAATATGATAATGGGTTTAAAGATATAAATAAATCAAATTAGAGACTACGAAAAGCAATGAATGTTTGTATAATAGACAGCTGTTTAAAAGTAATTCACAAAATTTAGGAGAGCATACAAAACCGAAAACTCTACACACTTACTCAACCTCACATGCTTACTTACCGCTGAGGATTAAATATTGTTAGGCTGAAACGAGAAACGAGTGTTCAATTATTACATGAACATCAAGAAATAGATATAGATAGAAAACGAGGATTATAGCAATATCCTTCTTTTAGGGCTATCTATGCATATTCATCATGATTTCATAATCTACAGTTTTATTCATTCTTTCACTAGTTTTTATGTATGCTTTAGAAATTACTTATAAAATAAGGATTATTATTTAAGTTTTATTTATTTATGATCTGAAATAAAACTCAAGTTGTGAATTTCATACATATATATCCTTAAACAGTGCGCCATGACGAACCCCTATAGTCCAGTTTCGGGCTAAAAGGCATCGTTTAAGCAATATATGTATTTAAAAAATTATTGGTTAAAGTTAAAAAGTATTACACAAAATTAATCATTTTGTTGTGAGAGAATGAATAAAATTAAAAAATATTTGATTTTGCAATATTTATAATAACCCTTAAAACTAATGATTATTTCAATATTATTTATATTTCTATAGAAACCTTGGCTATTGGAGATATAGTGTTTGCTAAGAAATGTGGCTACATACCCTGGCCGGCTAAAATAATTGCTAAACATAGTCGCGCTAGCCTGGTGCAATTCATGTCGACCAATGACCGACATCGGATTCGCTACAGTAAAATCTGGCCGTATAATGAGTATACCAAGTCGGAGTTCATCACCCGCGAAACGCTCGACTATGAGGAGTTTCGTGAAGCCGTTTTCATTACCGAGCGCATTCGCGGCGTAACGGAGGAAGGCATCATTGATGCCGTTATGGAGCTTCTAAGTCCCATAGAAGAGTCGCTGGTGCTTTCATCACAGCCATCGCCCACCATCCCCGATCAGCCATCGCCGCTCAGTCAGGAGCAATTGGACCTAAGTTATGTGTACCATGTGCGGCAGCAAAGCGACTCACTCAACGTGGAGCCGCAATTTATTAAGCAGATCAATCGCCTGCGCAGCAGCCTGACCCTAACCGACCAGAACTATTTGAATGCGCAGGCAGCCTTCTTGGAGCTGCAGCATTTACCTATAAGCCAGCTGCTACTTATTCGCAACTACGACGCCGTGGACACCATTCGCCAGCTTTGCAGATTTAGAGTTCCCTATAGTGAAGAGGACGAGCTCACTGCTGATGATTTGGCTGAGCTCCAGCAGGACTCCCAAAATGTGCGGACCCAAGCCAATCACTTATTTGTGCACTTTGCCAGCAAATTCAAGCAACCGTTCAGTCAACCGAACTTTTGGTCGGAGTACTGCAGACTGACAAGCATTTATAGGCGCTATACCGTGGCCATTTCTGCGCCAGAGACAGAGGGGATCATTTCAAAACAGCTGCAACAAACAGCTGAACAAAAACTCCACGAAGACAACGCCTGCAGTGAAATGAATGGAGGATAAAAAATAATAAATCAGGCACATAATTTGCATACAAATTTGTCCAACTTCACGAGTATGTTATGCAAATAATGTTAAATCAAAAGAGAGCACAATTCTTATCAAATTTACAAAACGTTCTTTACAAACCATATTTATAAAAAAAATAGTTTATGTGCCAGAGAGAAATAGTACTGCTTTGCATACGGAAACAAATTAGTGATAAGCAAGAGCATAATTACAAATAAGAGCATAATATAATAGGCACATAATTTGCATACAAATTTGCCCAACTTCACGAGTATGTTATGCAAATAATGTTAAATCCTTTCTTATCAAATTTACAAAACGTTCTTTACAAACCATATTTATAAAAAAAATAGTTTATGTGCCAGAGAAAAATAGTAATTAATTAAATTAAATATAAAATATTCCATATATACATTTACATCAAAATTCCAAGAATTACGGGAGTTATAGAAAATCGAAGATAGGGGGGAGTGGGGGGGTGCATCTGAAAAAATGAACAAACTCGTCCTTTCTCGGGCTCAGGAGAATCTGGATACAAGTTTGGTTATTCTAGCTCTTATACTTTCTGAGATCCTTGCGTTCATACAGACAGACGGACATGGCTATATCGACTCAGCTTGTCATCCTGATCAAGAATATATATACTTTGTGGGCTCTGCCACGCCTCCTTCTGTGTGCTCACTCACACAAAACTAATATACCCTTTTACCCTTTGCGTACAGGGTATATAAAAAACAGTTTATGTGCCAGAGTGAAATAAAACTGATTTGAATATGGAAATAAATTAGTGATAAGCAAAAGCATAATTACAATACAATAGAGAATATAAACTAAATAAAACTAAAGAGTAAAAATGGTTAGGTTGAGCGAGCTGAACTCTTAATAACCCTGTACCTCCCACAAAAATAAAAAATTAATTTTAAAAAATTATTTTATATGTATGTACATATGTATATCTATTCCCGAAAAGCGGGACTGAGCCTGTCCATGACAAGACAAGTCGACAAGTAGCCATGTCCGTCTGTATGAACGCAAGGATCTCAGAAAGTTTAAGAGCTTTAATAACCAAATTTACTATCTAGATTGTCCTAAGTCCGAGAAGGGACGAGTTTGCATTTTTTTCTGATGCAACCATTGCATTCTAAAGTAAATTTATTCCAGTGAAATTATACATAAACACATACATAATATGTATGCATGTTTAAATAATTTTATATTTAATTAATTAAATTTTTTTAAACAATTTTATTTAGACTTTAAAATCTCTAAAAAATTCCAAGAAAAACAGTATACTTGGTTTTTTTAAATTTTTCCTGAGCCCTGAATTTCTGTCAAAAAATGTTGGGGCACAGATTCTGATGTAATTGTAAACTTTTGTGTGTAAACAAAGAATTATTAGAAAGAAAAAAGAATTTGTTCTTAATGGCATTAAAGGAAAAAAATTTTAAGAAAAAAGAAAATCTAAATTAAATTTTGCATTTTCTTAATACTAAATTATTTATTAGTTTTACATTATAAAATGATTAAATATTTTATGCATGTCATCGTGTCAGTTTATTACTGCCAATTTTGCAAATATTTTTTTAGATTACATCGAAATTGTGTCGCGTTTCTGATATTTTTTAATCAGGTATGCTGGCTCCTTAGTATTTATCAATTTGTGTAAAAATGATTAAGCCCGAAAGTTTCTCCAAGACATGATGCTTAAGTCAAAAAGTTGGTATGTATAGCTGGTTACCTGATCAAAGCGTCTTGAACCGAAACATAGCGAGTGACACTATTTTATCGATTTTGAGCTATCGGTTTCAAGTTCAGAACTTTTAACGCACCACGTCAAGCTTCTATTGTTAGCTTGATCCACATACTCAATCGGAATATCTCTAATCACATAGGAGTTAAAGTGAGAAGTGTTTCGGCGGTTTTTATAAATTACTAAGCATTTAGATCTAGGGGGATTGAGTTTTAACCCATTGTTTTTAGCCCAGTCATATACACTCACTTAATTCAGTAACATGACGAATAAAATACATTGGCACATCATCAGCACACAAGTGGACTTTACTGTTAGACTGACAGATGGGATGTCATTCACGTACAGGCTGAACAATAATGGGCCAAGAACGGATCCCTAAGCAACACCAAATAAGAAGCATGAAAGTTGTTGCCGTTTTTGAGAAGTAGTAAATTCTATTAAGTTTATTGCACATTATTTCATGATTAACACAATCTAATGCCTTACTGAAATCGAGTAAGTTTAAAAAAGCCACCCACCCAGTATCCATTTGACTGCGAATATAGCTTAGCGGTATAGGGGTTATTGAATTCTTTGGACTTTCCATTAATAAAACCAAGAACTAATTTGGGTTCAAAAATAACTCCAAGATCTTAAACTGTAGATATTTGTAAGCTTTACGTAATGCGGCACATAAAAGCGCCATTGCGCTCATAAGAATAAATAAAAACAAATAAATGACACATTTATTGTACGTGCATACACATATAGTACATAAATACTTGTATATATGTCCTTAAATATAGGATAGAAAACTGTGTCAAGATTTTTGTAGCAGTTGAGGAAATGACAAATAAGCCTTTCGTGTGGTCAGTAGGCAGCAAATTCTTTACCAAATCCCACACTAAATGTGACAAGATGTTGGTGACAGGCAAACACGCAGCCTGCCCGGACCGGTCCGGGCACCTCCCCAGATCCGCTACGAGATATACAATCGATCAAAAAATAAACCAAATCGTCATGTGTCGGTTGTATAGTAAACAAAAGCCAAATGTATTCACACCTTGACGGTCGGCCACATCCTCTTACACGCCCCTGGTCCCAGCCATGCGGGCGGTCAAGCAAACAAAACAACTCACACCTAGCAGCTCGCACACGCCTGATGGCAGGCAGCCATAAGGCCAGCGAACAGCACATGTCCAATGCAAAGGCAAATTCAATTTGAGCTGTCAAAAATCTAACCAATATTGGCTAGCTCTACGAGTGTGTGAGCATGTATGAGTGTGTGTGTGTGTGTGTATGTGTAAGTGTAAGGAACAATGAATCGATTGAAAGCGTATGCGAAATTGACAGCCAGCGTGCCAAGTGACCAGCTAACCAGGACGATCCCCTTTCGCTCTGTCCCCGACAGTGGTTGCACGCGCACCTCGTAACGTGTTAAACCGTTTGACATTTTGCTCAAGCAAACGACTATTTGAAGATGCCACAAACACAGCCAGAGCACTTGTCTGCTTTGCCTAAACTGAACGCAACTGAACCGAACTGAACAGAAGGTGTTCAAGCTTAAGCAGACCATCAAATTAATTTGACATTTGCTTTGTCACTGTCATCATCGCCGGGCCGCCGTGTAATGGTCGGTCAGAGACACAGGTTCCGGGCATCAAAGCCAATGACCCTGCCCACAACTACAATTGATGATGATATATTGCTCGACTTTGATTGGGTAAATGCGAGCTATACGCATACGCAGCACTAGTATGACTGACTATTTGGCTTATTGACACTTGATTAGAGTGACAGGTGACTGGGCTGCTTGTTTGCAGCTGCTAGACCCTGAAGCTTACATTCGAAATCTACACAACTACTTTAAAGCTTTTAAAGAAATTAGCGAGCATTAATTTATGCGAATAATTGAAATGTTCTTGATGTTGTTGTTTTCGTTGTTGCCGTTGAAAAACAAACTTCAAGATTGATGCACGTCAAATAAATAAACATTCAAGGAAAAATCCAGGAGAGCACACAGCTCTGGTCGGCCATGTGTTACGGCGCCCTAAAAGTATGCTATAAAAATAATAATGTTATTTTTTAATTTTCTTAAAATGTTCCACACACTCTCCGTACTGTGTGTGGGTGCGTTACATAATATAGCCAAAATACAACGACAACAAAACCAACAACAGCAAAAGCGGCATGGGACGGCAGGTAAACGACATTAGTTCTTAAAGATGGTAGAAGATGGCCAAAGGAACGCACCATGGCACAGAAACCAACTGCGAGCGTGTAAAGATTTGGACTTAGGTATTCCCCATTACTTATGAATATTCAGATAAGTGGCAGCATGAACTCAGTTATGCTATACTAGCGTGTATATAATTAAGCCAGCTACGAAATCCTAAATTTAAATATCTGCAAAAATAAATAGAAATGATTCAAAGCAACTACTGTAAATTTTTATTGGATAGCTTTAAGAAACTTATCTTCCGTCTCATGCGGTTGATGGTCTGAGATTAATTTAAAAGTAAGTATATTAAAAAACAAGAATCCGTTTTTCCATCATCACTTGTTTTCAGAAACATGAGTGGTATAACTATAATAGCTCAGAGTAGTAGACAGAAAGTAATTAGTCTGGTTCAGCTATAGTTTAACAAAAACACCCGAAGGCAGCATCTGGATAAAACGGGAAATATTTTCCTTTACATTGATTACTCCAACTATATAGTGTAGCATGATATTGATGTAAAGGTCTTCTCAATCATTAGCGTACGCTTCAATAAAGCCAGGTCAATTGGATAAAAAGTACGCACCGAAAACTCAAAAACATATACAATCTGAAGCATAGTTCATTAAAGAATCGAATATGAACTCTAGACTGCTTTGAAGAAACGCCATACGTGTTTATTTAACACAATTAGGATTGCGAAGATTCACGAGCATCACAATTGAATGGAATCCAAGTCTGGAATTGTGGACGGGCGAGGATAATGGTGTATTATTCTGTAAAAGAGTAATAGTCACACCAAAATTTCTTAATTCAATTAATTTAATTGCATAATTTTGGTTGTCTCTGCTAGCTTGATTTCTTTTGTTCAGTTCCAGTGTTGCTTTCTAGTACAAGGTGCGTTCCAAAGTAAACAGGACTTTTTGAATCTAGTGCCCCCTGGTGGCGCTATCTATATGTCTGCTATCTTTATCAATTTCATGACATTTCATCGATTGGAAGTGAAGTTATTGCGTTTTAAGTGTCAGTATGTTTGTGTTATCGGTGAGAAAATGAGCTTCGAACAAAGAGCCAACATTAAATTTTGTTTAAAAATGGCGGTGATTGCCTATCCCGTAGCAGAGTG